TGAAATACACTGCTGCTGAGGGGAGCAGTGGGCAGGTCAGGAGAGTCTCCCATGTCATGTGGGATCGAACTCATGCTGCACTGGCTTCAGAAAGCTTCATAGTGTTGTACTTTAACCTGTTGGGCCACCAGAGAGGCCCCTGCTTTTGTTTTTTGTTTTTTCCAACATAAATATTTGCACAAATACTTTTTTTGTTTAAGTAATACGGGAAGATAGGTTGTTACTTGAGTTCTTATATTGTTTCTTAAAATAGTAGCTATGGCATTAAGAATTTTTTTTTTTTTGGTAAGCAAATTAAAATGGCCTTTGGTGGACTCCAAATGGGATGTAAGATGTTAACTTATGTGATAGAAATAGTTCTTGACATTTTACATGAAATCAAAATGATATTCAAAATTTATTGATGGTTCAAGAATTGTATAATTTGGGAAGAAATTTTCTTAGTAAAGATGTGAGTGAATTCAGTAGTACACAGGAAACTTGCTAAGGATACATACACCTTTTAGTCCTTTTAGGTTTTATCATTTTTATATGAATGTGGTCACCTGAGACGAAGGGTAACAAAAGTGCTTTGACTTATGCAAATTCACCTCCTTTCCTTCCCCATTCCTGTCTTCCCTTTTTCTGAAATATGCTGATTTGGCCTGCCTCATTTAAAAAAAAAAAATGAGACAATTTATTAAAGCACATAGCAGGAATAGAATTATAGTTCAATGAAAAATCAGTAGACAAAATAAGATGAAGTCCAGGGTTATATTTAAAACAAAATACATACAACAATAGCCTGAAAAGTTACTGGAATTTGGGAGCAAATTAATCTTTGAGGTTCTTTTTCCTGGAAAGAGATTACACATCTATAAGTCTTTATATAAGGTTAGGTCTGAGAGACATTTCTCGACAGGGACCTTATAAGTTTTCCATTATGGATGACTCATGTTAACATTCCTAGAAATAAAAAGACCAAATTCATGAAATACAGTACAGACCAGTAATATGCACTTCAGTAGTAGCAAATCCTTGAAATTTCCAAAGTACTGGAATCCCAGTAAATAGCTCTTTCACAATTTAAAGTATGTGTGTATCTGTTCAACTGCCTAGTCAGCATCCCAGATGACTAATAGTTAGCAAAGTGGCCTTTGATTCAGCAGAAGATTCCATATGTAAAGTGTCCTAGTGCTAATATATGAATGGGATCACTTTCCTTTTGTCATTCTATAGATAAATGTCATAAAATAAATCCTTATGTTAGCAAAACCAGATGTCTAGGTTTTATCACAAACCGTATCATAAAGAACAGTACTTATTCCCTTTTCTTGACATGTTGAAGATGTCCTGCAAAGTTATATTTTCTTTAGATGCAGTTTTTCCTATCAGGAAAAAGAACATGATTGAACATATGTTACAGAAAACATAAATGATTTCTGTAACATTCTGAATATTAGAAATTATCTCCTGTGGTCATTTTCAATCTCCACAACATCACATTTCACAAGGCACTTTTGAGAGAGTTCAAGTTATGGCTAGTTGGAAGAGGTGGAGGCAAGTAATGGTTCATGACCCCTCTGAACTTGAGAGCATTCTCCTGTTTTTCCTTTAACCAGTTCCTAACATCACCAAGTTCTGAAAATTCTTGTGTCTGATTTTATTTCTTCTCCGTCACTATCCCTGTTCTAAATTGTCATCTCTCGGCTGTTAACAATCTACTTTCCAATTATTAATTTTCTTCTCATATTTTTAATTAATAGTTTATAAACTATGACATTACTACATCTTATTGTGTTAATGAAATACTACAAAATGAGAAAAGGTTTAGAATCATTACCACAGCTTTTGCCACACCCCCATGGCTGTTTCAGAAACAGTTCTGATTAAATCAGTTCAGATGAAAAGTAGACTCCAAATTAAACTCTCTGTCCTCACAATCTGTTCAAAGCTTGATAACTACTTTTCTACCACAACCCATCAAGTACACAGCTCACCCTTGAGGCCAATGAAATCATCACCACAGGTGGCAGGGCTTATCCACTACCTTCTCAGTATGTATCTCTTTGCCATCTTGACTTCCCTGTTTCCCTTCTGACTCACTGAAGTTCCCTTATTGTGTTACTCTCTTCTACCCAACCTCTTAACTTGGTTGGGGAAGCCCAAATCTCCCACTTTCCTGATCTCATCTAATCTTACACTTTAAATAGCAACTACATAGCAACCAATTTGCCATTTCTGACTCCAAGGGAGTCAACTGCCTGTTTGTCATCAAAAGTTGAATGTCCAATTCATCTCTTAAACTCTTACCTCCGACTCAGAATCTCTTCTCTCCCAGTTCCATTATTTTCCTAGTCTCCAGTCTTTTTGAGATCAGGTGATGGCTCCATTCTCCAAGATGCTCATTCAGAATACCTATTTCACAGTTATCTTTGATACCTCTCTCCCAAACTGAGCAAATTGTTAAAGCCCATTGATTGTATAGTTAGAAATTCACCACTCATTGCCACTACTCTATCATCTCCAGAACCGCTATCATTTTGTGTAAAATATCAGAGTCCCCCATTAACTGATCTCCCTGTTGCAATCTTGCTCTTCTAAAATCTATTTACAACACAGCAATCAGAATCCTTTCAAAGCAGGTCAAGTCCCTATTGGTCTCTCTTCAAAATCTTAACCAGGATGACATGCTGATAGTTTGCTTTGTGTAAGATATAATATAAATAATTAATGTGAATAAACTAAGTTTTGGTAATTTTTAGGTGTACTATGGATGACCCCCCTCAAAGATATTGAAATTTTACAAATGTGATTTTTTCCCCTATAATTTGTGTAATATGACTTTTCAGGTTTTATTTTTAAATTTAAGATTTCTTCTTTAAAGAAGCACAAAGGGTAAGGGTCACCTTTCAAACAGCCGTAGGCGGGAGATCAATATAACACATGACTCAACTGTTTTCTATCCCTGCTCCCACACTCCCAAATGCAGTTATATTTCTGGACAGGATTAGTTCAATGTTTCTATAGCTGTGCTAAGGAGCTCTACTGTCTATGATTAGCGTGTCTTTTCCTGGCACACATAAAAATAGATGTTCTGTCTTTAACTGTAGCTTGTTAGGAGCAGTGTTGCTCAATGACCTAGATCGGTTAAAAAAAATAATAATTTGTGCCGTATTGACAGTTACTGTCTTCACTTGTTTCTACAGCAGAGGGCACCAGAGAGTGCATTCCTGGTGTTTAGGGGACTGCCACTCTTCACAGGGTTATTTTTACCGCGTTGTAAACGCCTCCTGCCCCTGCATCTCCCACGTCCGTGCTTTCACCTCCACGTTTGTAGACTTGACCATGGGCTTGACCATGAGTGTTAACGAATGCTCTTTGGAGCAAGAACGGCAAGTAAACTAGATGGCAAACATGTGCTGTTCTCCGGGATCCCGTCATTCAAGTCCAGAGGCAGCGTAAATTTCAGCCTTGAAACCAAACCCTCAAAAGCCGAAATAACTTACCAGGCATCCAGAGCCACCTCATTGGAGGGCAGCAGTTGAACGGCATCTAGTCACCTCCATAGAAAAAGCTACTCATCTGGCCCCGCATTGGAAGGAGCATTTCGTTGTTTTCTACCAAAGCCATCCGACTGTGTATGGCGGACTGGACTACTTCAAGGGAGAAAGGGCCGTGTGCCACGTTAGCCAAGGGCCAGTGCTGAAAACAAAAGCGAGCCTTCCCTGCGTGTCAGAACTCCGCCTCGTCCTCCTCCCTGCGCTTCCGGTTGTTCTCCTGCAGGAGGCTCTCCTCCCGCTTCCGACCCCACAGCGTTGGATTAACCTCGGCCTGATTAATTAAAAAAAAATTTTTTTTCCAAGAAATTTGTGCAAGATAAAAGCTCCAAATGTTGTTGGTTTGTAACTATTTCTCCAATATTCTCCAATATTAACATTTCAGTAGCTATTACAAATAAGTACCAATTTCTCATTCATTCTTCTAAGTCATGTGGTTTTCAAGCCAAGGAATGATTCTCTCCCTGCTCCTACCTTCAAATGTTCCTGTGAAATTCTTTGTCACCACAGATTGGGGAGGAGGGACTGCTACTAGCATAGAAAACAGGGATGACTTGAAACATTTCCGTATCAAACACAACACTTACTTTGATTAAAATATGTGACATAAAAATATTTTAATTTTCTACGTTTCACATTTATCTATACTTTAAGGGCTCAGCAATGGGTCTTCAAGTTTAATTCCCTAGGTCCAATTTTCCTGTTGCTCTCCAGACCTATCTATCAAAATAATTACAGATATTTCTTTCAGGATGTCATGTCAGGTTCTAATAACTCTTCTGAATCTTTACTCCTAAATATGCTTCTTTGATAGCCTAGTTTGGTTCATTTATTCATTTAACAAATATCCATCTCTGACAATTATCCAACTATACAGCAAACTTCTGCCTGGTTAATAAGCATTTTAGGATTAGCCCATGGAAAACAAAACTCTAGATCTCTTCTCCAACACACACCCATCAGCCAAACTTGCCCATCATTCAAACCTTCTTACCTTGATAAAAGTCATCAATTCCTTTTACCGGCTTCAACCCAAAAGCCCTTTAGGAAAAGAATCCACAAAAGAGTATAGTTGAACTGTTAGCAGGTAAATTGAGGGGCAACCTGGGACCCACAAACTTGCGTGCTCTAAAAGGGTTATGTCACTGTTACATAAAGACAATGAGTATTCTTAGTATGTAAGACATTTAGTAGAAATGAACTGTAATGGAATTAGTGTGCAATAGAGAGAAGAGAATAAAGGGTAATAATTTCTCAAT